ACTGCCCGTGTCACGCACGGGCTAATGGCTTCCTTCGGGAGATTTGAGATGTGACTGACGGAAACACGAGACCATACGTTTTGAGGGCTTGTTCAGCACCTCGACGAATAAAGTTGGATTCACACACTCAGATTCAAACATGAAATTGAGCCGACACGAGGGCAGTGTCTCGGCAAAGTGTTAACCCACATGAAAACTAGCGAAACGTATATTTCAGAATGTCGAATTTGTGTTACGTAACGTCCGGTTACCAGTGCAAAGGAACAAGATTCATCCAGGTCTCACACCAACTAACACCTAAGCGAGCTCACCAGCACTCGAGTGAGTCAAGCAAGCAACATGACGTTTAGGGTTTCGGCAGCTGACGTGGCAACGTGCAACAGTAAATGCCAGTTTAGGTCGGTACCATGTAGTTCGCTGTTGGCTACAATATTCGAATTCACGAAATGTGAACATTAAATTGTTATTAAATGCACTATAAAAACCTGGTTACAATCCTACATAATCACACCTAAAACACCTATACAGCCACCTTCACCCATCCTGCTACTACCAACGCTACTATTGCCTGGTGTCACATATTACATCCCCTTGCTGATTTTTCCTGCCCCTATATACTTAGGTACCGAAGCTGGGTAGGTACCGCGTCCAACCACATATTCAACAATCGTTACCACATCAAAACCGCCTCTAAACCACCCAAAAGAACTTGACCAGGGCGAAACGGACCCGATGTCCCACGCCTGAACCATACTCTTGTCCGAGTGCGCCAGCGCATCGATCGGAAACGGAAACCCTGCCTCAACCACAGATCTATTTTGTGCGTCACTCCTCAGCTGTCATGCAGAGGCTAGGGCTCTTTTTCCCCCTAGTCTAACTGCCACCACACACCAAGCTGCACGGCACCACACAGGTGTGACCACCGAAAAGCGCGCTGCTCGACTCTGGCTAGTCATAGACCTTCAAACCAACCTGGCTGTGCGACACCACGCTGGAGTGATCCCCAAATCACGCGCAGCTCATTCCCCCTAGTCGAATTGCCTCCACGTATCTAGCTGTGCGACACCACAGGATTGACCACCGTTGAGCGCTCTGGGCGACACAGAACATGCCCAGTCTCACGCACCCTAGTGTGTCCGTGCTAGACCTATTATTTATTTTGAAACGTGCTACCCACATTATCGGTCTAGACAATGGCTCTCAAGGACCTGGACGCCAAGAATGAGGTCGTCTAATCCAATCACTTGCGAGTTCAGCGATCGTTTGTTTCGCAATGCCCAGGTGTTTGGCCAGCACAGGGGTTCCCACCCCCTGTGCCGCCGGGGCATCCACTCTAATCAGGCCCGGGCAGCGCGCGGCGCTGAGCATTACCCATTCCTTGGATTTGATGCAATCCGCGATGCACTTCCCGTCGACGAGGAAGACGACGACATGCCGGAACTTGAGTCCAACTCAGATTCGGACGACAGTGACGAAACCTCGTCCACCGTAAGCGACTCTGCCACCAGCCGCGAGGAAAATGATGAGGAGGAACGCTTTTGGGCAGAGGAGCAGGCCCGCAGGGACTTTGAAGACGCTCCACGTCCGCTGCAGGCCACGGTCGATTAGGATTTAGGACGGAGTCTAGGTGAACTTAGGAGCTAGAATTACTCAAAATATAAATCCGAAATTCTGGACAGAAAAGTCGTCTTCACAAGAAACGACGTCGACAAAAAACTAGCCTTTGAAATGTCGCGAAACTTGGATATGTTGTAGCTCTTAATCGCAGCTACCGTTCCCGATTTGAGTCACATTGATTGATGAAGTATTCGCGACGCTATGGCTTTCGACGCATTAGGGGGTAAGCTGTAGGAGGAGAACTTAACTCAATCTCAAAAGTTCAATCAAAGTTCAAGAATCTCAGAAGGAATTAGAGGAGCAAGAGAAAAGGTTGGGATAGAAGTGAGCGATGAGAGGGAAGGTCCCAAGAGAGTCCCCAACCAAGGAAACCCCATAAGCACAAAGATTCCATCCCTATAGGAACCCCAACTTTGACATTTGTCCCTCCCAAACCAATCCATCCAAGTTGGCCACCCTTGCCAACCTAGCTTGGTTGTTCCCAACCAATTTGCAGCTGTTACAGTAGAGTGACAAATTTCCCCAACCCAAAGGTCCCAACTCCATATAGAGTCACCCCACAACTTCACTTTGTAACCGCCGCAATTGTAACGCAAGCTCATGAACTTTGAATCCTCATAGCTTTCGCGTTCTTACTCCGATTCAAGCGATTCTCGTTGCGTCGGAAAGATCTTCTCAAGATCTATCATCACAAAATACCTGCTCAAACAAAATAACACAAAACACATTCCCAAACTCCATAACACACCACACACAAATTCTTGCACACGTTCAAAACCACACATGCAAGTTGAAAACATGGGATGGGAGGCAGACAGAATGTGATAGCATATGATGACATCACACAACAATCTCCCCCTTTGGCTGCCAACCATCATCCACCATACCAACATCTCAAGCATGCACACTCAATGCACACTCATCCCAGCAAGCTTCATGCCCTTCCAATGATCCGCCTCCGGGCGATAAGCACATAGACCTAGTTCGCAATGAAATTGCTTAGTCAGCGTAGCACTTTACGAGATATCTCCCGTGTTCTGGTCGGTTTAATATTCACACCGATGGAGGCAGATTTACTTGTGCAACCCACGAAGCATTTTGCAATTTCAACATAGACGATATTGTTAAATAATGATCATATAATTTAATTGTTGTGTGTCTTCTTTCCACTGCAGTTTAGTATGGTTGTGTAGGGTACTTCTGGGAAAATGTACGTATCGGACGCGCTATACGAACGCCCCATACAACGCAATGAGGTGCTTTTCGGCTGGTGCGTTTTGTGCCAACGGCCCAAAACGGCGGAGTCAGGTGAGGTGGCAGCGGGGCTGAAGGAATTGTTCGGCATCATCAGGTGCGTCTTATCTGTACTCGACTGTAAAGCGCCACATCAGCACCCTTTCCCCCCAACAGCGAGAACCAAACCACGCTTGCAAGGTTTTGGCGCAAATGCTTTGCTGCTTTGAGTTGCGCGTGGAAAACCTGACCCCAAGCAGGCCTCTGGAAGTCAGGGTAATTACACTGGTTTGTCATGGAAAAACAAGGTTAAACCACGTATGAGCTGGTCGAAACTCTGGCATACGAAAACAGTCAAAAGTTTTAGGGCTACCCAGATTGGACGAGTTGGATCCAGGGCAAACTCGGATTCTGCAAGGTGACCCCCTAGGTTATCGAGAGGATTGACCCCAAGCCTTTCAAGCCACAGCAACAGCACCACGGCACCCTAAGAGCACTGATTTAGCGTGGCGCAACTGCTTTCATGCACTGAAACTTCCACGGAACACTTCCGAATTATGGCCGTACGTCACTAACATACGCGTTTTGTAAAATACAGTCTCGTTTGCTGTCCAATTTGACAGTGTGAGAATGGTGCATCGTGCTCAAACACTGCCTAGCCGAAAACAAAAAAAACACAGACCAACCTTTCCGCCACTACCTTGTCAGTCCCCCCTCGCCTCAAAAAACTCCTCTGCCTTGCTATGGTTTGGCGGCCAACCAGCCAAACCCACAACGCCTTCCGCAGCTGTGTTTGAAATTTCAAACTCGAGGTTTGACCTTCGAACTTCGAACTTCATACTTCAGACTTCAAACTTAGGACGCAGAGCCCCCCCCACTTGTACAAAGAGCCGCCGTCGCAAAACCCATTTTTCCCGCCATCCGCCCCGCCCCCTTAAATCCTATACAGAGCGAAATGTGATATAAACAAGCTCAAAGATAGTTCTAGGGCGGTTCGTCTCGTGGAGTCACGAAACTCAAGTTTCAGCTCACCAGGTGTGACCCTTGTTTTCTATCAAAACTTAGTTGCCCAATCATTGTCATCAGCGCAAGACCTTTACAAGTTCTCTCCAGTTCTCTTATAGTATTCTCACGCCACGCTCTCTTTTCTTTCACGATGGCCCCTAAGGGAAACCAAGTTCCACCTGAGGTGCTCGCAATGGCACAACGTCAGCAGCCCAGCCGTGGCACGAAGAGCAACCATGCGACCCTCGGTGGTGATTACAAGGATCAAGGTACTTACTGCCTTCCTCTTTTGGCACATTCCGGTTGATTCCCTTCGCACATTTTTTGCGACTAACCCTAATTTCCCACAATTTCAGGACGTCTGGCTGAAGCATAGTTTGAGAGCGGTGACCAGTCATTCGCTGGCGAGATTGATGGGCTGCAGTTACCTGATATGGGACCGCCTGCACTAGCAACTGGCAGAAGTGGCGTGAGGAGCCTCAGCGCTGTTTTGCAGTAGGCCCCTCGTGCGCCTTCCCATTACAACGTTGCGAATAACAATAGTACGAATGTCCCATTGCCTTAGGTCCGCACGCTTTTACCCCATGCTAACTTGTATCTTGTCATTCACCAATTTCAGATTCGGGGATCAACGGTGAGGTCAACCATGAAGCCCCTACTTCTGCGTCACATCTTCCATCCAGCCCAGCCAGGCTCCCAGCCCAGCCTCCCGCTGCCTCAACGCCTGTCCATGCTCCTCCCACGCTTGGTGTAACTGGTGATGCCTCAATTCTAGCAGCTGTTGCGGCCTTTACGGCAGCGGAGGCGAACCAGCAAACGGATGAGGATGAGGCGATCATCATGCCTACAGGTAAACTTTGCTCCTGTTCATTCCGCCCTTAAGTTTGCAGCTAAACCCCGTGACTAACCCAATTCTGGTGGTTTTTGCAGCTTATACCGCCGTTGGTACTCGGCTCTTTAAGCGAGCCGCTGGCGTTGAGACAAACGGTGGGGTGGATCTGCTCTACAGCGAGAAAGGCCGGAAGGTGTCAAGGCTCGATGACGATGTTCGTCTGCGAAACACGCAGCTTGAGGAGGAAGCACTTGCTTCTAGAGACTAACTTCAACGACAGACGGTGGTCACCACTACGTCACTGAGTGCGGTAGAGAACTTGGCCAACCAAATGGAGAAGAAGGTTCTCACGGACAAGCGCGTGAATGTAAGTAACCATTCCGCCCTTCATAAGTGTGTGTGTTCATTTCCCCCCTTCCCTCTCATCATGTCCCTTGTTCCCTCTCCGCCCATCCCTTGATCCCGCTCTACCCGTCCTTCCATCCCCATCCCTCATGCCCTCGTCCCATCTGCCCATCCCTTCATAACTTTTGCCCTTCCCCCCTTCTCCCTCTCTACATCCCTTCATCCCTCCCATCCCTTCATCCCTCCCATCCCTTCACCCCGTGCAGGACATCATGAAGCAGGCAGTTAGCCTCACCATCAGCAAGCCCCCGTACATTAACTATGCTCCAGATGAAGCCCACTGGCTGAACCTCTTTATTGGTATGTGCTGCAGCGATTTTGCTATCAAATTTTGCCTTTGTCCCTGAATTCAACGTGGTGTTCTTCTTCAGAGTCACGATTTGTTGTTTCAACCTTACCTGGCCTGATCTACTCGCCACCCGTTTTCTACTGCTGTGCAGAGCTGGCAAACGTGCAGCCACTCTCAGAAACCGCATTCAAGCTTAAGCTTGAACTATCGAACTCTGATGCCTTAGAGCAGACTGCCAAAATGTTCAAAAACAGGTTTGGGAAAAGGCTTTCCAACTTCAGGCTCGGAGCTCTCCTTAATTCCCCTCTTAAGCTAATCAAAGATGTGATCAACAGCGATGGGAAGAAGTGCTACAAGAAGGACGCTGAGTTCGCCCTTGCATGTGTGAAGTGGGTTGCTGAGAACGCAATTGGTGAGTAGTTACTCTCGTGCACTCTTGATCGTTGTCACATACCTGGTGATAGCCTAAACTCCCTTGTTGTTTGCAGATGACACAGGGATCCCATGGCATGAGTGATTGGGCGTCCCATTCTCGAGCCCTGCCTTTCTTGCGGTGGGGAAAGTGTGGACAGGGAAGGCTGGTCCAGTCGTAGCGCTGCACCGACATCAGCTCACCCTCACTATGGCCGTGGTGAGCCCACAGCCCTTCCTGTCCGTCCCTTCATCCCTCCCTGCCCATCCCTTCATCCCTCCCTGCCCATCCCTTCATCCCTCCCTGCCAATCCCTTCATCCCTCCCTGCCCGTCCCTTCATCCCTTCCTGCCCGTCCCTTCATCCCTCCCTGCCCGTCCCTTCATCCCTCCCTGCCCGTCCCTTCATCCCTCCCTGCCCGTCACTCCATCCCTCCCTGGCCGTCCCTTCATCCCTCCCTGCCCGTCCCTTCATCCCTCCCTGCCCGTCCTGTCATCCCTCCCTGCCCGTCCTGTCATCCCTCCCACCCTGTCCCTTCATCCCTCCCTGCCCATCCCTTCATCCCTCCCTGCCCATCCCTTCAACCCTCCCTGCACGTCCCTTCATCCCTCCCTCCCCATCCCTTCATCACTCCCTCCCCATCCCTTCATCCCTCCTTGCCCATCCCTCCATCCCTCCCTGTCCGTCCCTTCATCTCTACCTCCCCATCCCTTCATCCCTACCTGCCTGTCCCTTCATCCCTCCCTGCCCGTCCCTTCATCCCTCCCTGCCCGTCCCTTCATCCCTCCCTACCCATCACTCCATCCCTCTCTGGGCGTCCCTTCATCCCTCCCTGCCCGTCCTGTCATCCCTCCCTGCCCGTCCCTTCATCCCTCTGTTGGTGCAATCCTATGGCTTGCACTCGGCTTGTCGTCCTTGTTTGTGTGTGTGCATGCATGGCATGGAATGAATTGTGAGTCTATCTCAGTGCTATCTAGTGCTTGTGTGAATGTTTGAATGGTGTATCACAATGTGGCTTGTGTCGGTCAAGACATTAGCGAGTTTTTACAACTCGCATGTCAAGTCGTCGTTTGTGTGTCGCATGTGTTTTTTCTATTTTGTCGAGTGTGAAGTGTCCATCGTGTTGTAGGTGTGTGCAGCAAGCCCCCATCAACTCAAGAAGAATTTATCTTGCAGATCCAAGAACAAGAGCTCAAGATTTCAAGCCCAAGGGACGCGGATAAATATTAAATAGTGAAAATAGTAACGTTACTTCGTGTAGTGTTACATTTCACTTGGGGTAGCCCCTTGGAAGGTTGGTTTCGAGACTCTTCATGGTTGGGGACTCTGTGGTGGTGTACCACCAACCTGGACCTCGGCTCTTGGGGTATGTAGAGGCTGGGAACCATCTCCCTCTCGAATTCTTCTTCCTAAGTTTTTTGTACTCCTAAGACAATAGTGGTTGCTGTACCTCCTGCCAGTCAAACCGCCATAGCGTCGTCAAATCTTCATGGAATTTTGTGATTCAACTTGCTGCTGATAGGCGACAAAAACTCGCTTCAGATCCAATTTACAGATCATAGTTTGAGCCACATATCAGATCGTTATCAGTATTTGAAGCTGACTGACGGAATTCTGACTACGCACAATTTCTCTCATTTTAGGAACATCTGAGCCTATTGTGACTATAACAAGTGGTATCAGAGCCCCTTGGAGCCGTCTCGACCATGCCTAGACCTGAGGAAGGGGGTGGCAGAGGTTCTGGAGGCAGAGAAGATGCCCAAGCACAAGGTCAACACCAAGATCCACCCGTTGCTCCGGTGCAACCTTGCCTTGGACCCTCTAGGGATGAGCCTAGAGTGTTTGGCCTTGACAAGTTCAACGGTGACAACTTTGCTGAGTGGTCCTTCAAGATGGAGAACATCTTTGACCACTTTGATCTGCTGGAGGTGATGGAAGGAACGGACAAGCGCCCCGAGAACGACCCGGAGAAGAGCCCGTGGGTGCGGAAGAGTGCACAAGGCTACCTTCTACTTGGGCAAGCGTTGGGGAGCAGCCAAATCCGTCACATCAAGCCTTTTCAGCGTGAACCAGCAAAGGGACCAAAGGCATGGGCTGCTCTCAAGGGTGTACACGCTCCTGCAACAGCGGCGGTGGCTTCGGTTTTGGAGCGGCAAATGGCGGCACTTCGAATTGACGAAGGCGAACCGGTGGAGGAAGGAGTGCAGAAATTCTTCGACTTGTTGACACGGCTCGAAGGAGCTGACCTGAACTACAGTGACCTTCAAAAGAAGACCAAGCTGCTGGCCTTACTTCCGGACTCATGGTCCTCGCTCATCATCAACCTAAATCGAGATCTGCCCCGTCTCTCACTCGAAGATGTGAAGCGGGAAATCTTACAAGAAGAGGTGCCGGAGTTGCAAGCATGGGCCGTGGGCACGGCCGTGGAAGGGGCAGAGGGCGAGGAGGCAGATTTGGCAGCAGTAACTTCAATGGAGGCCGTGGTAATGGAGGATATGGCAGCAACAACAACAACAATGGCTACGGGCGTGGGCGCGGTCGATTTGATGGCGAATGCCACTTTTGCCACAAGACCGGCCACATGTGGAGAGATTGCTTCAGATTGCCTGATGGATGGACCCCTTCTCAAGGCCAAGAGGGCAGAGGAGCAAGGGGAGGAAGAGGCAGAGGTCGTGGAGGCCGTGGTGGCTGTGGAGGCAAAGCTGCAAGCATGAAAGGTGGAGACTACGACAAGGACTCGAGTGAAGATCGATACCCGGGCCAATTCTTCTTTGTCTCCACGCAAGCGGCAGCTGCAGCAGGAAGTGTGGAAGGCTTTGAGGAGCCAGCTACTGTGGGAAAGGTCACCCTTCACTCTCTGGACTTTTGGGTGATCGATAGCGGCGCCACCTATAGCATGACACCTCGTGCGGACTTGCTCACCGAACTCGAACCGTCGCCGGTCAAGCATGTTACATCGGCTTTGGGGCAGCGAGCAGAGGTGAAAGGCATGGGCAAGGCCATGTTCAAGGGTGCTGATGGGAAGATGGTGGGTCTCAAGAACGTGCTTTGGGTGCCCAACCTAGCTGCCAACCTGATCTCTGTTCGGCGTTTCCAAAAGGCCGGCATGGACACATCTTCCAAGGGCTCCAAAACATATACCGCAAGGCTTGGTGAGCGGAAGCTTTGGGACCTTCATGAGGACAGGGACATCTATAATGAGATGTGGCAAATCCCAGTGGTCCCCATGCCTAAGGGGAGGCAAGTGGCAGCAAGCGTCAGCACCAAGAGTGAAGCGGTTGGTGGCGGTGATCACGGAAAACAAAGTGACACCAAGAGTGACTCGAAGGAGTGCAACTTTGGAGAGACCAGCAAGGCGTGTGAACCCAGGGAGAGTGGTGCAGCAGCCAAAGGTGGTGGAAATGAGGAGGAGAAGGCTAAGATCAGCAAAGCAGCAGCGGCAAAGGAGAAAGGAGAGAGCTTGTGGGGCACGATTGCGAGTGCCGCTTTCTCCAACCCGACTTCCGCTACGGGAGAGTGTGATTGGCTGACCTTGCATCGGCGAATGGGGCATGTGGCATTGCCCATTTTGCAGCAGATAGTTAAGCAAAAGATGGTCAGTGGGATACGTGTCAAGGGGGAGCCCAATGAGGTGCTTGGCTGTCCAACATCCATGCAAGCCAAGTTCACCCGCTACCCGTTCCATAGCTAGGAGACAACGGCGAAGGCACCACTTGATGAGGTGGTGATGGATGTGGTGGGCCCCTTGAAGCTTGGAGCTGCTGGAGCTGAGTACTTCCTCACCATTGTGGACGTCTACACTCGCATGACTTGGGTGTATGTGCTTCCCAAGAAGAGTGACGTAGCTGAAACGGTGAAGACCGATTGGTTGCCGATGGTGGAGCGACAACAAGACCGGCTTGTGAAGGCGATTCGCACTGACCGTGGGGGAGAGTTCCTGAGCAAGGACTTCTCAACTTGGCTGAAGAAGCAGGGCATAAGGCACTCTCTCACCATGCCCTACTCTCCAGCAATGAACGGCATCGCCGAGCGTGCGAATCGGACACTCACGGGGACGGCTCGGGGACTTCTCATTGAAGCCGGTCTACCCAATTACTTTTGGCCGGATGCGGTGCGGCATGCTTGTGTGGCCAAGAACAGAGCCTTGACTCACGTGGGAGAAGACAAATGGGTGCCCTATGTGGAGTGGATTGGAAGGAAGCCGAAGGTGGATATGCTTCGGGTGTTCGGGTGCATGTGCATGGCACTTGTGCCTAAGAAACTTCGGCACAACAAGCTTGATGCCAAGGCAACATGGGCCGTGCACCTGGGCATGGCTCAAAACAGCAAGGGATGGCTTCTTTGGGACCCATTTACCAAGAAGTTCCTGGTGAGCAGAGATTGCAAGTTCATGGAGAACTTACCGTACAAGGAGTGGAAGGCGGAGAATCAAGCGAAGATTGGTGTGCGGCTTGGAGAGGTGAAGAGTACCGGCTTGGAGTATGTGGAGCTGCCCTTGGAGCTGAGTAGCAGCAGCACAATCACAAGGCAATCTCCTCAAATGAATGGGGATGAAGAGGAGGAGGAGGTGCAGCAAGATGATGAGCGTGCACCGTCACTTCCGCCTCGTGCTACAAGTGCTCGTGGGAACCGACCAGATTTACCGCAACGCCATGAGAGCATTCAAGTCCCTGCAGCAGAGGAGGAAGGAAGGGGGAGAAGGAGGACTCAGCCCCCCAATAGGTTGAGCTATGAACGGCTTGGAGGACCAGCCAACTCAACCTTGACCGGTTCGGCTCTCATGCTAGGCGATGATGCGAAAGATGAAAGCGAGGAGTGCGCTTTTGCCTTCTTCTCTCCGGTGGAGATACCGGGGGAGCCTACAAATCCCAAGGAGGCTTGGGAGGGCCCCAATGGGAAGGAGTGGAAGAAGGCCTCAGATGAAGAAATGGGGAGCATCATCGAGAACGACACGTTTGACTTGGTGAACCTACCTCCGGGGCGGAAGGCGATCTCTTCCAAGTGGCTCTTCAAGCGCAAGACCAACGCCAACGGCAACATCGAGCGCTACAAGAGCAGACTTGTAGCCAAGGGGTATCAGCAGCAAGAGAAGAAGGACTACAATGAAGTGTATGCCCCTGTGGTGAAGGATACAACCCTTTGAACCCTCTTCGCCGCCTCGGCCATCAAAGGATGGGTGGTGAAGCAAATGGATATTGTAACGGCCTTCCTCAACGGCGTTTTGGAGGAAGAGACCTTCATGGAGCAGCCAGAGGGGTACATTGATGGGAGTGGCAGAGTGTGGAAGCTGAAGAAAGCACTCTATGGCCTCAAGCAAGCCCCTAGGCAATGGTACATCAAGCTGCGGGAAGTCTTGGAGGCGATCGGCTTCACTCCCTCAACGGCCGATCAATCCTTGTTCATGCTTGGCAAGGGGGAGCAGAGGAGCTTCATGGTGGTTTATGTGGATGACATCCTCATATTCTCACCCTCCTCTGACCTTGTGAAGGAGGTGATGCTGAAGCTTCAAGACAAGTTCAAGTGCAAGACCCTTGGTGACGTCAACTACTACCTTGGGCTTCACATTGAGCGAGATGTGGAGAAGCGGTGGATGCGAGTGCATCAAAAGAAGTACTTGGACGCCTTGGCTGCCAACTTTGGGCTACTCCTCTTCCCTCAGGGTTCAAGTGTGTGAAAGGAGCAGCGGAGGAAAGTGTTGGTGAAGAGGAGAGGCGGCGTTTTCACTCCTTGGTGGGCAGCCTCATGTATGCGGCCGTTCACACAAGGCCGGATGCAGCCTTTGCTACCGGGCAGCTGGCTAGGGTTGTCCAATGCCCTAATGAGGAGCAGGTAGCAGCTGGAGAGAGGGTGGCCAAGTACCTTGGCCAAACAGCAACTGTTGGACTGCAATACTCCGTGGCGGCACAAAGGCGTCAAAAGGGTGCGGATGGAGTCGAACCCGGGAGGCTCTTTCTCACTGCCTTCTCTGATGCATCTTGGGCATCAGAACCGGAGGACATGACAAGTGTGGAAGGCTTCATCTGCTGTGTTGGTGGAGGGCCAACAGCTTGGGAGAGCAAGAAACAAGTGGACCAAGCATTGAGCTCGGTGGAGTCCGAGTACTTGGCACTCTTCCGTGCCATAAGAGAGGTTGTGTGGCAGCGGCGTTTGCTAGCTGAATTGGGGGAGGAGCAGCAAGGACCTACACCACTTTACTGTGATAGCCAGGGTGCTATTGCATTGGCTAGGAACCCGATTCTTCATGGCCTTACCAAGCACATGAAGGTGAAATGGCATTGGGTGAGGAGCATGGTAACCGCAGGTGAAGTGGAGTTGCACTACGTGAAGACGACGGCGCGGCCTGATGATATGATGACCAAGAGACTGGTTGAGCAGCAGCATTGGAAGTGTTGCAAGCTTGCTGGGATGGCTCTGAACTAAGGGGAGCAGATTCTAAGGCCAACAATCCAAGGGGGTGTTTGTTGGTGCAATCCTATGGCTTGCACTCGGCTTGTCGTCCTTGTTTGTGTGTGTGCATGCATGGCATGGAATGAATTGTGAGTCTATCTCAGTGCTATCTAGTGCTTGTGTGAATGTTTGAATGGTGTATCACAATGTGGCTTGTGTCGGTCAAGACATTAGCGAGTTTTTACAACTCGCATGTCAAGTCGTCGTTTGTGTGTCGCATGTGTTTTTTCTATTTTGTCGAGTGTGAAGTGTCCATCGTGTTGTAGGTGTGTGCAGCAAGCCCCCATCAACTCAAGAAGAATTTATCTTGCAGATCCAAGAACAAGAGCTCAAGATTTCAAGCCCAAGGGACGCGGATAAATATTAAATAGTGAAAATAGTAACGTTACTTCGTGTAGTGTTACATTTCACTTGGGGTAGCCCCTTGGAAGGTTGGTTTCGAGACTCTTCATGGTTGGGGACTCTGTGGTGGTGTACCACCAACCTGGACCTCGGCTCTTGGGGTATGTAGAGGCTGGGAACCATCTCCCTCTCGAATTCTTCTTCCTAAGTTTTTTGTACTCCTAAGACAATAATGGTTGCTGTACCTCCTGCCAGTCAAACCGCCTTAGCGTCGTCAAATCTTCATGGAATTTTGTGATTCAACTTGCTGCTGATAAGCGACAGCAACGCGCTCCAGATCCAACTTACAGATCATAATTTGATCCACATATCAGATCGTTATCAGTATTTGAAGCTGTCTGACGGAATTCTGACTGTGCACAATTTCTCTCATTTTAGGAACATCTGAGCCTATTGTGACTATAACACCCTCCCTGCCCGTCCTGTCATCCCTCCCAGCCCGTCCCTTCATCCCTCCCTGCCCGTCCCTTCATCCCTCCCTGCCCGTCCCTTTATCCCTCCCTGCCCGTCCCTTCATCCCTCCCTGCCCGTCCCTTCATCCCTCCCTGCCTGTCACTTCATCCCTCCCTGCCCGTCCCTTCATCCCTCCCTGCCCGTCGTGTCATCCCTCCCTGCCCGTCCCTTCATCCCTCCCTGCCCGTCCCTTCATCCCTCCCTGCTCGTCACTCCATCCCTCCCTGCCCGTCCCTTCATCTCTCCCTGCCCGTCCCTTCATCCCTCCCTGCCTGTCCTGTCATCCCTCCCTGCCCATCCCTTCATGCCTCCCTGTCCGTCCCTTCATCCCTCCCTGCCCGTCCCTTCATCCCTCCCTGCCCGTCCTTCATTCTCTCTCATCCCATCTGCCCAACCCTTCATCCCATCTCTTGATACCTCCCTTCCCATCCCTCCATCCCTCTCTCCCCATCGCTCCTTTCCTCCCTTCTCCTCCTTCCATCCCTCTCTGCCCATCCCTTCTTCCCTCTTGAGCTGCAGATTCGTCACAAGTTGCGCAATCCGAACATGGCACGTGTTCAGCTAGAAAGGTCTGGAGATCCTGATGCCCTCGGAAGGCAGGAGCGCGTCGTGCAGCGCCTGCTCAACCGGTTCCAGGCCACCAAGTACAACGGCAACAACTACTTCATCGGCAAGCTGTACCTCATGGATTGGGTGGATGTCCCAGAGAACATCCTGGCCCTTGATTTCGTGGGGGACCGTGGCGTAGATGATGTGGTTGAAGGCGACCTGAATGGAGAGGGTGTGGAGGTTATTTTCTAAAGGGGATGATGGGGCAGGTGGAGAAGGCCATGTTGCATTTGGATGTGCTTCATGATCAGGGATGTGATTCAAGTCGTGCTGCTGTTTTGGAAGTTGATTTGGGTTCTTTCATGTTGGATAAAGAGGTATTGTTGAGGGTTGTTTTTCATTGCCAATAATATCTGTTGTGGTTTGCGGGTTACTAATGAATGAAATTCCAAGAATATATATTTAATAAAATTGTTCAAATCGTGTTATAAAAATATTGTCAAACATTTACGCAGTTATATATAACTAATATACATAGAACATAAGTGTTTAATTTCCTGTCCAGTGATTACAACTCGTGGCACAAAAGATGTCGATTGCAGCGAAAGTCTAATAACAAAATTGGCGAGTCGAAGCAATATGTTCGCAACTCCCCTTCGACGTGCACACCGAACCCCAATTTCCGAACCGAATTGCCCGACACGAATCGGTTTGGTTAGGAATGTTGCGGGAAAGATGAAGACATTCTTGACGACGACTCGCCAATTCCCAACCAACCCCCTCCGAAGCAAGGGACTTCCCCCAACACACCTTCGACTTGAAAAACCTCCCCCCCCCCTTATCTGATGTCCCGAGAAAGATTACGAGATGACGAGCCCTGAACCGAGTCAGTGCAATCTGCTGTGCTGGCCGCGTTTCGCAGAGACAAGAGAGAAAAGTGCAGCGCCGGGATGAAGGAGATAATCCTGGACCGTGAGTTGGATAAGGCTGGATGGACGAATCGGGCTGTTAGTTTTCGAATAGACCCAATCAGGCAGAGCAGAGCAGAGGCATGATCGGATCAGGCTGCTAATGACGGGCTTGCGACTTTGCTGGAGCACAATTGTCTTTGCTGCCGTGACAATGAGAACGATCGCCTCGCGCCGTCAACGTGCTGATGTGTTGCGCAAGGCGATGTCATTCTAGCCGAAAGGACGGCGAGGAAAAAGGTGGGGCTTAAGGCGGGGCGAAAATGACGCCGGCGAAAGCGAGCGCGGCTGATGGATTCAGACAGTAGAGGGGCGAGAAGGAGAAGGGATCCCACAACCGCCACGCAGAGTGCAAGGGCAGCCTCGTCCGCTGGATGGCGAACGAGGCGAGGTACGATGCGAAGAAAGCAAGTGCAGCGAGATGATGGGACATGATGGCACCCCGTGGCCGATTCGATGCCAGCATGGCGTCGCATGGAAGGGCGAAACGTCCTGTCAACCGCAGCCATGACGTGCGTGCAAAACAACGAGGGGTGCAGTCATCCAAGGAGATTCTCGCGGGAACGTGATGGCAGAAAGCAGCCCCTACCCTACACCCAGTGTGCAGCATTTTCAGCTGTTGTCAACGCAGCCGTTACCACTCCGCGTCGTCATATCGAATGGATGGGACGGATAATCGGAATCTCTAAACCGACACACAACGTCCAGGTTCCTACTCTACATCGCAAAAAACCTTCATTTCTGTTCGGGTCTCGGTTTGGATATTTGGTTCTCTCGGGGTTGGACTTCAGGCCTTCTTTTCCGCAGCCAAACCGCGGCTCGGTTTGCGCAGTTTTACGTCGGAATTGCACGAGCGGGAATTTCGGGGCGACGTTCGCCCGAAACGTCTCGGAGGCGACGTGACAAAATGGGAGCTTTGAATGGGTTACATCGCCACCTGGTTCGTCAGCTCGCGAGCGGAAATTTTCCGTGCAAATTCAGGCAGTTTTTTCACGCATGACCCAGACTGTTTTTTCTGCTTCGTCGCTTGACTGGACTGGGGGCGGTGCGGAAGGAACCCTGAAATTGCTGGGCAGAGAGAGGGGGCTGCCTGCATGTGACACATCACGCCACCTGTGAGTGTTCCTGCCAGAATCCAAGCCTCAACCAATTAAGGCGTGTGTCTTACAGTTCCGGAACTCGGCAAGTTCCGGAACTTGGGCGGGTTACAGAGTTCGCAGCACATTTCGACAGGGCTTCGCGAGCACCTCCCCAGGCAAAAACTTCGCCAGTTCCGGAACTAGTTCCGGAAATTCCAGAAGCAGAACCGTAAGACACACTTCGGGCTCCTTATACCCCATTTGAAATGACTCCCTCATTTGAATACTATTCCTGCTGTTTTATTGCAACTACATGTAAGATAGCATTACATTTATTCAGGATTCCTATATCTATCTACATGTGATACCTATTCAAGAGAAAAAATGCATGAGTCATGGAACGAGAGGATCACATGCACGTGGCGCAGGATGGCGTTGATCGGAACTACATAGTAACCCTCATCGTCCTCCCGCCAGCAAAGGCGCTTGCAGCGCATCGCATCGTCCAACCCTCCAGCGAGCCACAAGCGGACAAATGCCAGGTCCTCCCTTTCCTGTGCTTGAGATGGAAGAGAAGGAACAGCCTGCCATACACCTCTCCATCAAGCAGCAGCGCCACGTACGAATACCAACCTTTCTTGTGGCACTCCGGGGTTGCCCTGACGAAATGCGCCACTCAAGCACCACGCTCGTTGACGGATGCTGGCACAGCCAATGACGTGTGAGCCTGCATGGAGGTGGGTTTGGGAAGCTGTAAATTTCCTAATTTGCTTGAAGGTTACAGCAAGATTACGACGTGTAAGGAAAGAACTTACTCGCACTTTGGTGGCGCTCACTCCATAGCGCTCCAAGGCGCCCCCAAATGCCTGGTGCGCTTGAGGGTGTTACTGAGCCCATTTCTCAAAGAACCAGTTCTTCTTGACTGGCTCAGTGGGAGGTGTAACCAGTATGGTGTATGCCTCCTTGGTGAGGACTCGCTCCCCCGTATCCATGGACCGTGCGAGCGCACGATGGTTGTTAAGCTCATTTGTTAGTGTATTTCAAGCATGTTCTTATGGTTTGTACCTTTTGTATGCATGTGTCACGAATGCCCTCCTCGTTGTCGAGCGTCAGGTACACAGCCCGCCTCTCATGATGCTTCATGATCTGCGCATCGACATTCCGCATGTTTGAGCGGCGGTAGATGTGCTTAAGAAGCGGGTCGTGGAGGTGCTCAAACATGTTGGTCGAGTACTCGGATACGTGACCCGCTCGGCGAATCGCGTCGGGGTAGTGCGACATCAAGTGTGTCTTGATGATGCACCACGACGATCTCTGCGAGGGGAATGCTTTCTGCAGCTTGGTGACCAACCTGGTGTTAGGGATTTCACATGTGTTTAGGACATAAAGATTGGTCCTACGTAGCAGGTGTTGAAGCATAGAGGGTGTTCAATATTCACCAGAGTTTCAATCACGACAAACGCACGGCAATTATGCTCCTTAGCAGTTCACATCTAGAAATACCTGAGGGTCAACCCCTCAAGCTGCAGCAGAGAGCCCTCTGTGTGCCCGGGCACACGGTAGCAAAGGAGGTACCACTCCAGGTACAGCCGGAGTGCCTCCATCTCATCCGGCGTCAGCTTGTCCGCCACGATTAAGACGAGGACCTGGAGTTGGGAGTTTCGAGTAGGCGGCACATGTGGGCACCGACAACAAATGGGATGGGCACAGCAAGCGCATGGGTATGCGCCCAAGCGTGGTGTGGACGGCCGGATGATGTGAAGAAATGGAGGGCATGATAGGTGCAGCAGATGCGTGTGGTTGCTGAGGGGGAAATGGCATGGGCAGAGTGTGCGCAAGAGAGGAGGGAGGGAAAGTTGCACCAAGGGCACTGAGGGAGGTAAGAAAGGCAGTAGGAAATAGAGAGAGATGGGGTATGGCAGTGGGAAACACGGAGGGAGATGGGGCATGGCAGTGGGAAACACAGAGGGAGATGGGGCATGGCAGTGGGAAACACAGAGGGAGTTGGGGTATGGCAGTGGGAAAAACAGAGGGAGATGGGGGATGGCAGTGGGAAACAAAGAGGGAGATGGGGCATGGCAGCAGGAAACACAGAGGGAGATGGGGCATGGCAGTGAGAAACACAGAGGGAGATGGGGCATGGCAGCGGAAACACAGAGGGAGATGGGGGATGGCAGTGGGAAACATGGAGGGAGATGGGGCATGGCAGTGGGAAACACAGAGGGAGATGGGCCATGGCAGTGGGAAACACAGAGGGAGATGGGGTATGGCGGTGGGAAAAAGAGAGGGAGATGGGGTATGGCGGTGGGAAACACAGAGGGAGATGGGGCAAGGCAGTGGGAAACAGAGGGAGATGGGGCATGGCAGTGGGAATCACAGAGGGAGATGGGGCATGGCAGTGGAAAACACAGAGGGAGATGGGGCATGGCAGCGGGAATCACAGAGGGAGATGGGGCATGGCAGTGGAAAACAGAGAGGGAGATGGGGTATGGCAGAGGGAAACACAGAGGGAGATGGGGCATGGCAGTGGGAAACACAGAGGGAGATGGACCATGGCAATGGGAAACACAGAGGGAGATGGGGGATGGCAGTGGGAATCACAGAGGGAGATGGGGCATGGCAGTGGGAATCACAGAGGGAGATGGGGCATGGCAGTGGGAAACACAGAGGGAGATGGACCATGGCAATGGGAAACACAGAGGGAGATAGGGCATGGCAGTGGGAATCACAGAGGGAGATGGGGCATGGCAGCGGGAAACACAGAGGGAGATAAGCCATGGCAGTGGGAAATACAGAGGGAGATGGACCATGGCAGTGGGAAACACAGAGGGAGATGGACCATGGCAATGGGAACCACAGAGGGAGATGGGGCATGGCAGTGGGAAACCCAGAGGGAGATGGGGCAAGGCAGTGGGAAACACAGAGGGAGATGGGGCATGGCAGCGGGAAACACTGAGGGAGATGGGGCATGGCAGTGGGAAAGATAGAGGGAGATGGGGCATGGCAGTGGGAAACACAGAGGGAGATGGGTCATGGCAATGGGAAACCCAGAGAGAAATGGGGTATGGCAGTGGGAAACACAGTTGCATACGGATACTGCCAATTGGTGGAGAAGGAAAGCAGCCAAGGTGGGGGACTGAATAACCATCATTCGACATCAATGTCGTCTCGAACGACAACGGACGAGGGCATGGCGTGTGTACCTGGAGCACGGCGCGGTGCTCGAATGCTGCCAGGTTGGCACCGGTGGCGAAGTACGTCGTCTCCGGGAAGCAGAGGTGGGTGATCCGCGTGTGATCCCGGAGGTACAAGAGGCGCCTGGGGGTGGGCATGGGTTAAGAGGGACGACCCGCATCTGAGTGTGTGGAAGTTCTTGAATCGGGAGACAAGGGCCTAGGGAGGGGTCATGCATACCCGTCAAAAACCCCCAGCTCCCTGGGGAGCTTGGTGCGGATGGCAGCCAGGATGTGGTGCAGGATCCCAAGGTCCGCCTGGTGCATGATGTCTGGCATGATGGCCAGGTAGGGGTTGCTCCAGGGGGCACGCGTGATCTCCCACTTCCAGAGTACGCTCTGCAAAGGCACACCCGGGAATGAGGCGAGATAACATGTTGTTAGAGGTCTGGGAAACACGGACTGTGGGGGTGGGGAGCACGAGGCAGGTCGAAAGGGTGTTGGGGTGGACCACAAAGCGCATGGAGTATACCTCAGAGGGGAAGGTGGAGAAGAATGATCCCACGGTCTTCTCCGAATTCGGGGAGAGCGCACTGTGGTTCGCCACAATCCAGCGCTGGTCGGACACCGTGCGGGTGACGTTGGGCGACTGGACCGCCCACAGGTGGTCCTGCACGTGGCAGTGGGATCAGTGTTGCACGGAGCTGGGTTTCGGAGAGCACAGAGGTGGCAGCGAAATCAGCTAGCCAGGGTGGAGAGTGCGGGGGGAGATGGAACTGGGTGGGCTTACCTTCTGCGCATAGCAGATGCTGCAGGGTGTCTCCGTCCCGCATGACATTGTACCGCTGATCCCGCTCTCAGGATAGTCGCACGCCCACGCATAGAGCCTCAGCTTCACCGCCCGCTCCACCCTGTTAGGGTCCTTCAGCAAGAAACCCCTGCAGGAGCCAAGGACGGGCGAGCAAGGAGAGGGGAAATGCGGAGGTGTGGGCAGGGTAGACAAGGGCATGCAAGGGAGGCATGAGGAGGGAATGCAATGGCTGGTGAAGGCATGGCATAGAAATAAAAGGCAGGGAAACCCAAGTCTGGGAAAGCCAAGGCAGGGAAATCCAAGGCAGGGAAAGCCAAGGCAAGGAGAGCCAAGGCAGGGAAAGCCAAGGCAGGGAAAGCCAAGGCAGGGAAATCCAAGGCAGGGATAGCCAAGGGAGGGATAGCAGAGGCAGGGATAGCTAAGGCAGGGAAATCCAAGGCAGGGAAAGCCAAGGCAGGGAGAGCCAAGATAGGGATAGCCAAGGCATGGATAGCTAAGGCTGGGATAGCTTAGGCAGGGAAATCCAAGGCAGGGAAGTACAAGGCTGGGAAAGCGAGGGCTTGGGAAGCCAAGGCATGGAAAGCCAATGCAGGGAAAGGAAGCGTGCGGATGGCCAAGAACGCGGACAGGGGCGGATGCGTGGGTGGGAAAGATGTTCTCACCTCTCCATTCCAGCGAACAGGGGCTCTAGCGCGGTTACCGCGAATCGATCCCACAGCTCGGTCTTCTGCGCCGATGGCATGGAGCGGGGCAGTATGGGGAACGTGCCAAGCAGACAGTGGCCGGAAGTGGCCCATACCTTTGTCTGTGAGACGTTAGCAAGGGTCATCATCAGCGGGTGGGCCTTCTTCCGGCAGTTCTCGCTCAGATGGGTGACGTCGCTGTAGAGGATGACCGCCCCAACGAACGCATCCTCACCGATCTCGGCCTGCCACGAGTACACGCGCAACGACGTAGGAAAAAAGGGCATGCAAAATAGGATTGCATGGTGCAGCCGCCCGTTTACCTGCCGCACGAAGTGCAAAAAACAGAGCGCCGCGAAGTTCAGCACTGGAGGCTGGTCGACCGTGTTGTGTGATGTCATCATATGCTATCACATTCTGTCTGCCTCCCATCCCATGTTTTCAACTTGCATGTGTGGTTTTGAACGTGTGCAAGAATTTGTGTGTGGTGTGTTCTGGAGTTTGGGAATGTGTTTTGTGTTATTTTGTTTGAGCAGGTATTTTGTGATGATAGATCTTGAGAAGATCTTTCCGATGCAACGAGAATCGCTTGAATCGGAGCAAGAACGCGAAAGCTATGAGGATTCAAAGTTCATGAGCTTGCGTTACAATTGCGGCGGTTACAAAGTGAAGTTGTGGGGTGACTCTATATGGAGTTGGGACCTTTGGGTTGGGGAAATTTGTCACTCTACTGTAACAGCTGCAAATTGGTTGGGAACAACCATGTCACAGGATCGAATGTGTCGAGGAAAAGTTGCACTATCGATCAGTACAAGGCGCTTTTATACTTCCAGAGTACATCAAGTAACCAGGTTTATCTTATCCTAAGGGAATAGACCCTTCTAGAAGATAGAATCACCCTGCGTATAGCCACGCGAGGCTATTGGCTTTAAGAGATTACGGCAGGATTACGCTAGATAGCGTGTCTAGAACATTCCATGCCTGGTCGGTGATATAATAATAATAAAGGAAGAAACCAAAGGATAATGGAAAATGGGGAATATGAGGCAAAAGGAGATGAGATAAAAAGAGGAATGAAATGAAGATGAAATATGGAAAAGGCCAAGTGGTGTAACGGAGTCGTACTCTCACAAACCAAGCTAGGTTGGCAAGGGTGGCCAACTTGGATGGATTGGTTTGGGAGGGACAAATGTCAAAGTTGGGGTTCCTATAGGGATGGAATCTTTGTGCTTATGGGGTTTCCTTGGTTGGGGACTCTCTTGGGACCTTCCCTCTCATTGCTCTCTTCTATCCCAACCTTTTCTCTTGCTCCTCTAATTCCTTCTGAGATTCTTGAACTTTGATTGAACTTTTGAGATTGAGTAAAGTTCTCCTCCTACAGCTTACCCCCTAATGCGTCGAAAGCCATAGCATCGCGAATACTTCATCAATCAATGTGATTCAAATTGGGAACGGTAGCTGCAATTAATAGCTCCAACATATTCAAGTTTCACGACATTCCAACGACTAGTTTTTTGTCGACGTTGTTTCTTGTGAAGACGACTTCTCTGTCCTAAGTGGTGTTGTAAAGGTTGGATGTGACTTCCGCTAAGGGGAAACTCTGCCGAAATTTCGTGGACACCGATACTTGTGAAAATATCGAGGGAGCTGAGTGTGGACAGCAAAGGGGAGCTGAAATTTGTCATTTCTCAAGGAGAAGATGAATGAGAGAGGAGGAGATGCTGCTAGAAGAGGAGCTGTACCTGAGAAGACAAGTGAGCCGCCGCCATCAAAAGTTGAAGCTTTGGATGGCTCCAACTATGAGGAATGGAGCGGTCGGATGAGGAGTGCCTTCAAACGCTACAAGCTACTGAAGATTGCTGTTGGGGAAGAGAAGATGCCGGAAGAATGCGAAGCACGTGAACGGTGGATTGAGAAAAGCGCGGTGCTTTTCGACCTCATCCTTCAATCGGTCAACAAGGAGTTGTTCGAGCACATCAAGGATCTTGTGGAAGTGAATGATTCGGGTCCAAGGGCGTGGAAACTACTACGCGATGTGATTCAGCCCAACACTCTCCCGATGGTGATCGTGCTTGAGAAGGAACTTGCTGCCATCTCCATGCGACGAGGGGACGATTTGAAGCCGGTCCTTGACAAGATCAACGACACTTATGCAAGGATGGCAGCAGCGGGCAGCAGTGTATCTCAGCTGCAGCAGTACACCAAGATCATCTCGGTGTTGGACAACTCTTGGGACAACCTCATCCCCACCCGCAACTCTCAGCAAGATCAATGGACACCTGAGTGGCTAAGGCAGCAGATTCTGCAGGAGGACTTCCGCAGACGCCATGTGGGAGGTGGTGCGTCTACTAAGACTGCTGAGGGGTATGGAGCTGTAGGGCGCAGCAGAGGAAGAGGGGGTTGGAGAGGCCGAGGCCGTGGGAGGAGCTTTGGCAGAGGTAGAGGTCGAGGTGACTATAATGAGGGGCATGGGAGCTCTGGTGGCAGGGGGAATACCAGAATGGAGGGCACCTGCTGGTACTGCAAGAAGGTCGGGCATCCTTGGTTCAAGTGCTTCAGCAGGCCGGAGGGAGGGGCACCTCCAGGCATGAAGCCGCCAAGTGGTGAACGAGCACAAGGTGGCGCTGTGCAAGGCTCAGGTGCACAAGGTGAAGGTGCACAAGGTAATGCCTATCCTGGTATGTATCTCATGGTTGAGGATGTGCATGGGCATGAGGGTGATGTGGGATCTGTGGGAAAGGTTGTGATGCACCCTCTCACGCACTGGGTGATTGATTCGGGTTGCACCAGTCACATGACGCCACGGGCAGATTTGCTTGATGAGGTAAAACCCCCTGGGAAGATCAAGTATGTGGCAGCAGCGTCAGGTGCTTTGCTCCCTGTGATTGGTGTTGGAAATGCCAAGGTTAAGGGAGCTAATGGGGGGCTTGTGGGGCTTGGGAATGTTCTGCTAGTTGAAGGTTTGTCTGCTAACCTTCTCTCTGTGCGACGACTGCAGAAGAGCAAGGCCGAAGTGACGTTTGGACCAACCAGCTGCCATGCTGAGGTTGGGAAGAAGATGCTGTGGAGTCTGGAAGAGGAGCCCAGCTGCATCAAGGACCTGTGGCAGCTGCCCATCATCCCTTGGAATGGGAAGACTCCAACAGCAGCAACGGCAGCAGCGACAAAGGCAACAGCAGGAGGAGATGCAACTGCACCAACTGATGGGGTCCTGGAAGTAGTCAAGAAAGTGCAGCAGCAGCAGACACATGGCGAGGTGCTTGCTGGTGTGGATGCAAGTGCGGCATGGGCTAAGGCTTCATCAAGGAGTGGTGAGGCCGATTGGGAGACATGGCATGAGAGGCTGTGTCATGTGAACTTCCCTATGCTGCAGAAGTTGGTGAAGGACGGGAACGTGAAAGGATTGGAGGTCAAGGGGGGAGTGAAGGAGATTGGGAGCTGCCCTACATGCTTGGAGACCAAGTTCTCCAAGTTCCCCTTCAACAGCACTACAGGACCAGCCAAGACCCCACTTGCACTTGTGCACATGGATGTGGTGGGGCCCACAAGAGCCCCTTCCCTCTTAGGCAGCCGCTATTTCCTGACAATTGTGGATGACCACACTCGGGCAGTGTGGGTTTACCCTTTGAAGAGCAAGGGGGAGGTGGCAGCGGTTGTCCTTAAGGAGTGGATGCCTAGAGCTCAGAAGGAATGCGGACACAAGGTGAAGGTGATCCGCAGTGACAATGGTGGGGAGTTCATTGGAGCCGATTTTGAGGGGGAGTTGAAGAGGAAGGGGATCCGGCATCAACTGACAGTGCCCTACAACCCACAGCAGAATGGCGTGGCTGAGAGGTTCAACAGGACCCTGCAGGAGGGGGCACGCACTCTCCTTGGGCGTGCAGGGCTGCCTGATCCGTTTTGGGTGTCTGCACGGAGGCAGGTCGCCCTTGTGAAGAATAGGGTGCTGGCTACAGTTGGGGAGAAGGAGTGGATCCCATATACCAAGTGGTATGGGAGTGCTCCAGCTGTGAACATGGTGAGGGCATTTGGGTGCATGGTGGTGTTTCATGCGCCTAAGGAGAAAAGGGGGAAGTTGGAGGCTTCTGGAAGATGGGGTGTGCACTTGGGGATTGCAAAGGATCACAAGGGGTGGCTGCTATGGGACTTGACCACCCAGAAGCTGACTGTTTCAAGGGATGTGAAGTTTCTCGAGTCCCTGTACTACAAAGAATGGAAGCAGCAGCAACAGAAGCTTCCATCTACACTGCTAATTGTGGAGGCAGATGAGTTGCAGTAGCCTTCAAGGCAGGTGGAGGTTGCAGTGTCTGAGAAGGAGATGTCTGGGGTGACTGAGGAAGGGGGAGCAGCTGAAGTGGAGCAGCAGCAGCATGAGTCTCCATCTCGAATTCCACACCCGCCCGAGCGTCCTAGGAGGGATGTGCGCACTCCTATAAGGCTGACCTATGGGGGAAGAGGCAAGCCGAATGTGGTGCAGGCTGGGAGTGTGGTTGAGCAGATTCAGGAAGATGAGATTGCAGTGTGCTATTGGGCTGCAATTCCTCAACCCATGGTACTAATGCTAGCTTCAACTCAGTGAAAGCGGATGGCACCAGCATTGGGGGTTATGTATGCTTGCTAGGAGGTGGTGCTGTGAGCTGGCGTAGCAAGAAGCAGAATGAGGTGGGATTGTCCTCATATGAGACTGAGTACATGGCCTTACACCATGGGTCCAAGGAAGTGGTGTGGCTGAGGCGCTTGTTAGAGGAGTTGGGAGTTGGTCAGAAGGAGCCGACGGTGATCTTCTGTGACAAAGAGTCTGCAGTGAAGCTCGCCAAGAATGCTTGTCTGCATGGGCTGACAAAACACATAAGGCCTAAGTGGCATTGGGTGAGGAGACTCCTTGATAAGGAGGTGCGGCTAGAGATAGTGAAGACCCATCAGCAGGCAGCAGATATTTTCACTGTTACAATAAAAATGGCACCTTCTTTAGTACGTTTGTATGAACAAATGCCTGAACCTAAATATGTCATTGCGTGTTCAAAATAAAGGTGGCGCTAGATGCTTTGGGGTCTGGAGATATAGGGACCACATGCAGAGTGCGCAGGATGTGGGATATGGGAAAAACAAAGTGCTCGTCTACCCTTGCGCTCCAAACCAACCTCTCCAAGTCATAATCTTTGGTAGGACCTGTGCTCTCATAGTTCCTGATGAAGCCCATCTGGTCTTGCATAATATCTTTGACCCGAACCCCATTCTCCATCAGCATGGTGGTTTTTGTAAGGGTTAACATGAGCAGCAGCTTGTCAAAACGCACGCGATGGACCCGTCCTGCCACTGCCTCCTTTCTAGATACATCAGAGTACCAAGGCTTCCCGTAGAAGGAAGGTGTGGCTCTGGCATACTGAGCATGCCTGCTGTACAAATCATAGTTCTCACCTCCTGGGGTACCTACACTGGTGTGCAGGTGAATGGTGGCATAGCATGCTTCTCTAGCCAAAAGCTTTCCTCGAGTGGTTGGTTGTAAACGGTCCATGTCCCCAGGAGCAGTGGCACACAGTTGCAGCCAATGGTTGCCAATTGGCTGGTCCATGTTGATCTGACCATTCCGACCTGTGACAGTTGGCATTCCACTCTCCAAGGCCTGGTAGAGAGTGAATTAGAGAGGGATGGGGATGAAGGGATGGGGATGGTGGGGATAGGTGGATGGGATCAGAGGGAACAAGGGATGGGATGAGAGGGATGAAGGGATGGGGATGGTGGGGATAAGAGGATGGAATCAGAGGGAACAAGGGATGGGATGAGAGGGATGAAGGGATGGGGATGGTGGGGATAGGAGGATGGGATCAGAGAGAACAAGGGATGGGATGAGAGGGATGAAGGGATGGGGATGGTGCAAATAAGAGGATGGAATCAGGGGACAAGGGATGGGATGAGAGGGATGAAGGGATGGGCAGAGAGGACAGCCATTCGCAAACTCACCACACGTAGAGCAACAGCTCGGACTTCCGCATCCTCCTTGTCCTCATCGTCCCTAGTTATTGCATCTACGAGCTCGCCAACCAGAGCGCGACGTGTGATGTGCTCCTCATAATTCTTCTTGTTGCTCCCATGATATGGTCTCTTCATCATGGAGATGTGAAGATGCTCGTAAAAGTCGGTGCAGTAGTGCACTGGCAAACCGCCACGACGGATATCCTCTGGAACATGCACCATCGCGTGCACTTTTGGAATCATGAACTCCGACATTTGACCGGCTCCAAAGTGCGTGATAAGGAGAGGGATCAGCCTGGGGTGGGAGCGATATAGGGAAATGCCATGGAACCTTCTTGCAAAGAACACGATCATGAGTTTGCAATGATCGGACCCTTGGGCTTGTACGTGGTATGAAAGTGATGGAAAGAGGAGTGGTGGGATGCACACCGGTGTTTAGTAGACTTAACGATAATGATGCCTAACTACTAATCACATCACAACTGTGCACTTACAATCCTGTGAGGGACGCGAGGTGTATCAGCGTCGCATCTGTATGATAGGGTCGCAGCCACACCTCCGAGTGCTAGTAGACATACATCGAAACAGTCTCTACCAGCTCCTTTTTTGCCCCCATCTGTTGAAGGAGCACAGGCAGAACCTGCATCACTGCTTGATGTTCGAATGCATAAAATGTGCCAACATTAGCGAAATACCTCTTCCCCTTCCCTGGTAAGCGGAAGAACGATTGTCTACAGTATTCGGTGATGCGACTAAGTGCATCATCGAACAGTGGCCGCTTGTCAACTCCCCCCCTACCCCCCTTGAGGATGTTTCCGAGAGAATCTACCATGTGTTTAAACACTCCATGTGGGGACATGTGCATCACGTCGCACATCAAAGCGCGGTAAGGGTTACCCCATTCGGTGTTTCCTTGTGGAAATCTCCACAGCCACACCTGTTTGGGGGAGTTACGGGAAGTAGAAAAGTATTGGCACACTCATCCTTGTACCCACCAAATCCCACATGTCCAAAATGAAAAAAGAAACAGCCCTCTCTGCCCATCCCTTCATCCCTCTCTGCCCATCCCTTCATCCTTCTCTGCCCATTCTTTCATCCCTCTCTGCCCATCCCTTCATCCCTCTCTGCCCATTAATTCATCCCTCTCTGCCCATTCCTTCATCCCTCTCTGCCCATTCTTTCATCCCTCTCTGCCCATCCCTTCATCCCTCTCTGCCCATTCCTTCATCCCTCTCTGCCCATCCCTTCATCCCTCGCTGCCCATTAATTCATCCCTCTCTGCCCATTCCTTCATCCCTCTCTGCCCATTCTTTCATCCCTCTCTGCCCATCCCTTCATCACTCGCTGCCCATTAATTCATCCCTCTCTGCCCATTCCTTCATCCCTCTCCGCCCATTCTTTCATCCCTCTCTGCCCATTCCTACATCACTCGCTGCCCATTAATTCATCCCTCTCTGCCCATTCCTTCATCCCTCTCTGCCCATTCCTTCATCCCTCTCTGCCCAATCTTTCATCCCTCTCTGCCCATTCTTTCATCCCTCTCTGCCCATCCCTTCATCCCTCTCTGCCCATTCCTTCATCCCTCTCTGCCCATTCTTTCATCCCTCTCTGCCCATCCCTTCATCCCTCTCTGCCCATTAATTCATCCCTCTCTGCCCATTCCTTCATCCCTCTCTGCCCATTCTTTCATCCCTCTCTGCCCATCCCTTCATCCCTCGCTGCCCATTAATTCATCCCTCTCTGCCCATTCCTTCATCCCTCTCTGCCCATTCTTTTATCCCTCTCTGCCCATTCCTTCATCCCTCTCTGCCCATTCCTTCATTCCTCTCTGCCCATTCCTTCATCCCTCTCTGCCCATTCTTTCATTCCTCTCTGCCCATCCCTTCATCCCTCTCTGCCCATTCCTTCATCCCTCTGTGCCCATTCCTTCATCCCTCTCTGCCCATCCCTTCATCCCTCGCTGCCCATTAATTCATCCCTCTCTGCCCATTCCTTCATCCCTCTCTGCCCATTATTTCATCCCTCTCTGCCCATCCCTTCATCACTCGCTGCCCATTAATTCATCCCTCTCTGCCCATTCCTTCATCCCTCTCCGCCCATTCTTTCATCCCTCTCTGCCCATTCCTACATCACTCGCTGCCCATTAATTCATCCCTCTCTGCCCATTCCTTCATCCCTCTCTGCCCATTCCTTCATCCCTCTCTGCCCAATCTTTCATCCCTCTCTGCCCATTCTTTCATCCCTCTCTGCCCATCCCTTCATCCCTCTCTGCCCATTCCTTCATCCCTCTCTGCCCATTCTTTCATCCCTCTCTGCCCATCCCTTCATCCCTCTCTGCCCATTAATTCATCCCTCTCTGCCCATTCCTTCATCCCTCTCTGCCCATTCTTTCATCCCTCTCTGCCCATCCCTTCATCCCTCGCTGCCCATTAATTCATCCCTCTCTGCCCATTCCTTCATCCCTCTCTGCCCATTCTTTTATCCCTCTCTGCCCATTCCTTCATCCCTCTCTGCCCATTCCTTCATTCCTCTCTGCCCATTCCTTCATCCCTCTCTGCCCATTCTTTCATTCCTCTCTGCCCATCCCTTCATCCCTCTCTGCCCATTCCTTCATCCCTCTGTGCCCATTCCTTCATCCCTCTCTGCCCATCCCTTCATCCCTCGCTGCCCATTAATTCATCCCTCTCTGCCCATTCCTTCATCCCTCTCTGCCCATTATTTCATCCCTCTCTGCCCATTCCTTCATCCCTCGCTGCCCATTAATTCATCCCTCTCTGCCCATTCCTTCATCCCTCTCTGCCCATTCCTTCATCCCTCTCTGCCCATTCCTTCATCCCTCTCTGCCCATCCCGTCATCCCTCTCTGCCCATCCCACCTTCCCTCTCCTCGCATCCCTTCACCCCTTTCCCCCCTTCCATCCCCACCCGTAACTCACCTGCACATGGTGTTGACTGTTGGTTGTTTCCAGC